TTTAGATTTGTTACAGCACATGACAGTAAAAGAAGTTGGACATGTACAAACCAGAAGAAAATCATCACCAGAACCAAACCATTCCATGTTGACACCTTGATCTTAGACTTCCAGCCTACAGAAATATGAGAAATATATCAAACAGTATCTGTTGTTTATAATTCACCCAGTTGATTGTGTTTTGTTATAGCAGCCTGAATTGACTTAGACAGGTATCTAGAGCTTATTATTTAATATATACTTGTAAGAACACATATAATACTATATAGTATCAATAATTTTTCATTTTGTTTATTGTATGTTTACTTTTTGTTGTCAGTATTGTTGAACTGAGCTCAGAGCATCACATATGCTAGGCAAGCACTCTACCAACCCTTCACTGTATTTACTTTATGGTAAAGAAAACATTCAATATGAAATCTACCATCAACCAATATTTAAGTCTATATAGCAGTATTAAGAATTCAAGACACTTGGGACTAGAGAGATGACTCAGCAGTTAAAAGCACTGACTGCCTTTGCAGAGGACTCAGGTTCAATTCCCAGTACCCATGTGGTGGCTAACAACCATCCATAACTCCAGTTCCAGGGGATCCAACACCCTCTTCTGACCTCCACAGGCATTGTACAACATGGGTGCACTTACATATATGCAGGCAATAGTCTCATATATGTAAAATAAAAATATCAAACATTTTAAAATAAAAAAGAATGAGAGATACTGATTGATAGAACCAGTATGACTTACATAATTGAAATATTATAAATATTGAATAACAACTCCTCATTTTCTGCTCCTAATTTCTGTTTCTATAAGTATGACTAACTTAGATAGCTCATATAGCTGGGATGATATAAGATTTGTGCTTCTGTAACTGTCTTACTTAAATGTCCTCAAGTTTCATCGATGTAAATGGCAAGATGTCTTTTTTCAAGGAAGTCACCCATTTTGTATGCAGAGCATATTTTCTTCATTTATCCATTAATGAGCATATAGATCATCTCCATATCTTAGCTATTATAAATAGTGCTGAAGTAAGCATAGTCAACTATTTTAGATAAATGTCCAGAAATTGTATTGATTTGTGATAGTTTTACTTTTAGTGTGTGAGAAACCACCATCCTGTGGCTACATAAACGTGTATTCCCCTCAGTAGTGTACAAAGGTTGCAATCTCTTCATATACTTCCTTCAAATTTGTATTTTGTACTTTTGAAAATAAAATGTTCAAGTTGATATCTTACTGTGGCTTTGATTTGCTTATCCTTGACAATTAGTATTTCATAAACCAGTTGATGATTCATGCATATTCATTGGAGAGGTATCTGGTCAAGTAATTTGTCCATATTTTCATTAAGGTTATTTAATACATTTCCTTTCTTTGTATTTTCTTTGTTAACTTGCTATTGATTAACTTGTAGGATTTCTGTATATAATCTGATTATTAAGCCCTTATGCTGTATATTGTTTCCACATATTTCTCTACATTTTAATTGATTTTCCACTACTATTTGTTTCCTTTGCTATGTGACAAAGTCATGTAGTCTGACACAGACTGATTTTCTTATACTGTTGCTTTTGCTTTTGGTGTCCTGTCCATGGAGGCTTTTATTCCATGTTTCCTTCTAAAAATTCAAAATTCAGATCTGTGTTTAAGACTCCGATCCACTTTTATAATTTTAAATCCTGTTTTCCCAGCCCCGTGTTGAAGAGACTTTTCATTTTCCCATTGTGTGTTGTTCTTGACACCTTTGTTGACTATCAGTTGGCCATCATATGTGTTTCGGGCACCCATATTCCCAGTTCTTCATGCTGTTCTGTTGCTGTATATTATCATATTTCCATTAACATTCTATTTTAAGTACTGCAGCACTGAATATTGTGAGTCAAGAATTGTGTTACCCCACTTTTGCTTTTCTTTCTCAGTCTTTTTAGATTTCTCTCATTCTTTGTAATTCTATATTAATGTTACATATTTTTCTATTTAAAATGCTGATAGATGAATATTTCACTGAGTCTAGAGATACTTTTATTTTCAATCAAATTGTTCAACGATGCTATCCAAATATTTAATGTTAATGTTTAATGATATTAAGTCTTCTAATAGGTGGTGCATGCCTTTAATCCCAGCACTTGGGAGTCAGAGGCAGGCAGATCTCTGAGAGTTAAAGATCAGACTGGTCTACATAGTGAGTTCCAGGACAGTTGGGGCTACAGGGTGACCCTGTCCCAAAAAGACAAAAAAAAGATGGCACATATTTGTATTATTTGTCTTAATTTATTATTATAATATTCTGTAGTTTTCAAATATACAAGTACTTGACCCCTTCTGTTACTAATCACACAATAAGACTAACTAGATAAGTTATAAGGAACAATCTATTTTGGCTCATGATGCTCTCCAAATGCTAAGAGGCTGCATTTGGTGATGCTTTTCTTGCTGGTGAAGGCACAGAGATACATGCACATGGATCACTATATACAAGGGAAAGGAATGTCCATATGTCTGTACTATAGGTCTGTCTTCATCCCTTTCTTGTTCCCTCTCCTTCCCTTTTCTTCTCCTTCTTTCCCCTCTATCTTTCCCACATCCATCTCTCTTATTTATCCTCACTCTTTCCCTTCTTATGAAGCTCCTGGGTTTCAGTTAATGGACTCCACCTTAAGAACCTTATCTTATTTTAATCACTACTAGCTTCATAAAATGTAATTACTCTTCTTAAGTTTTTCAGAAGAATTTTATAGACTTAATTTTTCTTTTAAATTTTTTGTTATTTTTATTTTATAAGTATGAGTGTATTGCCTGCATGTATGTAAGAGCACGTGTTTCATGAAGTGCCGAGGAGGTCACAAGAGGGTATCAGATCCCCTGCAACTGGAGTTACAGATGGTTATTAGCCACCATATGGGTGCTGGGGACTGGACCCAGGTCCTCTCCAAGAGCAGCCAGTGCTTTTTACTGCATAGACATCGCTCCAGCCCCAATTACTCTCAAAATATCTGATTGAATTCACCAATGATATCATCTAATCCTGAGCTTTTCAAACTTAGCGAAAAACTGGTAACTGATTCAATCACCTCAGTAGATATAAATTCATTTAGATCTTCTCTTTCATCACAACTCACTCTCAGTAAGCTGTATGTTTCTTGGAATTCATTTGTTTAGATATGAAATTTTAGGTGGGCTTATGTAATCTTTCTCTGTATGTCATCTTTTTGTGTCATTTCTTATAATGTCTCCTCATTCATTTATGATTTTATGTAGAGTTTCCTCTCTTTCATTAGGGTGCCTAATTTTTATAAATTATCTCATCTATTCAAATAAGCCATCTTTATTTTTATTCATCCATCTCTACTATTTTTTAATTCTCTCTTAGGATATATATTTTAGATTAGCCTTCCATTTAGTGTATTTATCAATATATACTTCACACTTTGCATTATTTTTTTCTACACCTTATAGAATTTGATATTGTTGTAATGTCATGGTTATTATTAGAATTTTCATTTTACAGATGAGGAAAAGTAGCTATAGGATTTATATACCTGGCCATAGATCACAAAGCAGTCTAAGTAAAACAACCAAAACTATAATGTAACTTCAGTGAAACCAGAAATTTTCTGTTCAATATTTCTGTTCATTTTTCTTCTCTGGGTCTCCAATTTCTTATCCATTCACCCATACTGAGTACTAGAAATAAACAAATATCCCTGCAAATGAATCTCATACAAAAAATTTTATGTTCTAAATACTTATTTTAATATGGAAACACATATATAATAATACTTATGAATTTTTTGCTATTTTCCTATCACTGAAAAGTTTTATCTTGGGGTTAGAATTCAGTCACTATAAAATTAACTCTCACTACGCTGTTGTTATGTTGTAAATTCTAATACTGAGGCTTTGAATTCATGTTATCTGAGATTAAACCCACTTTGGTGGGTGGAGGTAAGATAGCCTACATTAGTAGTGGAGGCTCTGGGGATACAAAAATATCATATTTCATTGAGAAATACAAACAGGCTAAACAGAACATTTTCACTTGACCAAGCAGAGCATGTTTACACTGTTTGGAAAGGAATCTGAAAAAGAGGGATAAGTTACAAATGAATGATCCCTTCCACAACACCAGCTTAAGAATTGGCTGGGAACAATGAGGAGTTTTAATGAAAATGTGTGCTTGTACAGGAAAGTTCATGTCTCTCTCATTCTGTTATCTCATGCATGTTATGTCACAAATACTACACCCCTAGCAGAAAGGAATATATATAACTGAAAGAAGCTAATTCAAGATACAATGAGAGTTCTGGCAAATGGGAACACATTCTGAATAGGAGAGAGAGAGAGAGAGAGAGAGAGAGAGAGAGAGAGAGAACTGTTGAGAAGCTCATATACAACCCACTGTATTTGCATTACTGTATGCTCTTTTATTGTGCTATTAGAATACTCAAATATGAAGACCTGGCCTACATTTCAACTTTTTTATCTTGTAGTATTCTTTTGTATGTATATTTTTATTGAATTTTTGTTCATTTCATACAAAATATCTTAATCATCTTTATACCCCCTCCCTCATCCAGATCCCTCCATGATCCAGCCCACTGGATTTCATGCATTCTATAATATATATTAAAGTGTATCGAGTCAAGTTAGTGTACCCAGACATTTCTCAGTGTAAAGTACAAGTTCATTCACTGGGATCTAGTCAGCCTGTCTAGTGTCTTTCCTTTAAAGATGATCAACTTTCCCTCGCCCAGTAATAGTCAGCTATCAATAGGTATTTGCCTAGTATTGGGGCCTGCTGCCCATTTCCACAGTTCTGTGCTGGGTTTTTGTCTGCTCGAGTTTGCATGTGTCTTGTGCATGCTCATAGCATTGATGTAGGTTCACATGAGTAAGGTCCCAAGAGCCTGTAAGACTCTGTTTCCTTATGATCATGCTCCAAGCCTGGCTCTTATAATCTTTCTACACCCTCTTCCACAATACTCCCTGAGGCCTGAGTGGGTGAAGTTTAATATAGAAGTTCAACTTTTATCCAGAGGGTATATTCCAAGGCATTTGTCACCCTAGCCAAATTTTCTAGAATTAGCTAATGGGAATGTAATTAAAGTTATTTGCTAATATTGATTCTTCCTTTGTTTTAGATAACAATCAGTCATCTATATCTGTATATTTTGTCAGGATTACCCTTTTCCACAGCCAGTGTAGCGCTGATAAGGTCTATTTTTCATCTCTGCACTAGAAGAGATGCAAGTCGAAGTCCAAGGTCACAGCAATCACATCAGGCTATGTTATGTATTTATTTCCCTTTGTTATATGCATGTCTAGTTACCCAGTGGCCCTTTTCTTAGCTACATTTCTGTTGGGTTGACAACTTTCCCTAGAAAGAGAATACTTCTGGTGCTCTTCTCCAAAATCATCAGTAAGAATGTTCTATCAAATCTGATAGTAGGGTGAGGAGGACTTATTTCAGGTTGATCCAGAGATCCATTTTCATGAGGAGCTACATCTTTTGTTCCTTCTTCACCAATGTGCAGCACAGCCTTGTGAGAGGCCTGTAGAGGGAAAATAAACAATGAAGTCACCTGAAACATTGGCAACAGACTTTGGATGAAGTGGAGATAGAAAAGGAAATAGAGCAATAGGTCTGCAACTGAGTACTGTATTGATGGTGCTTGAATAGGAGGATTACTTTGCTAAGAGTAGTAAATGAATTTTTGTGATTGTGGGAATATTTGCTTGGTAACCCCTTATTCTCCATGGCCTTCTGTCTCTAGAAATGGTCTGTTTATCATTTTCCCCACCTGCTCCAAAATTAGATCTCACCAGAGTCACTTCTGATCATTAAGGCTTTCCATTAGAGTCATATTAGGGCCCAAAGCATAGGGATAGAAAGAATTTCTCAAATGAGTTATTTTGAGTAACAGAAATAAATCTGGAGTTGTGACCTAACAGAAGTCACACTGCCTCTCCAGGTATGAGATTGCTCATTGGTCAAATGAGATGGGTAAATTATTTGACTCCGGATGATCTTTTCAGCTGATACAGTCAAAACTAATCTACCAACTTACATAGGAAAGTTTCAGACCATTGTCCTCTGTGAGTCCATGAAAATTAGCATTTTCAGCAAAGGCATCCTTCATACCCATCTTCTGAAGTGTGGTTCCAAGGTCATAAGTGGCAGAAATCGAAAACTTTGGAATAAACAAGTCAACCCATCTGTGAAAGATGAGGAAAGAGAGACATGACACATGACAGTCAGCACACTAATATATCTCTCCCTCCCTCCCTCCCTTCCTCTCTGTCTCGCATCCAACTCTGCTACTCCCCTGAACTTAGACAACCATTAACATGATGCCAAATTCACAGACATTTTTTCCTAGATAAAGTAGTCTTTGATTCATAAAATGTTGGAGTGCAACACTTGGAATTAAGATATGTACCTTTCTGATTATAATAAAAATACATATCTGTGTTATTGACCAAGGTCATGGGACTAGTAGCATGAAGATCAACGGGTAGTGCACAGAATGCTCCTGGTTTTCTATCTTGCATTCTTAGCCCAGAATGACTGCCCACTAAAACCTCAACATCAAATAATACCCAACCCCCAAATTTCTAGTCGGTCTCTGAAAAGGCATCAGATTCCAGGAAAATTGACTTTGGAGACCTGTATGAGTATTTCTAATTTGCAAAATATCAATAATACTGCCTTTCTGAAGTTTTGTTGATGTGTTTGCATGATACATTGTGGAAAATGTCGATCAAAGTGTCAGACATATGGTATGTTTTGGAAATACTATAATTATCGTGCAACTGCCAGGTGCTTCTGGGTGATTTTCCAGCCTCTAAGTTTTTTCTTAACTCAGTCTCGCCTGTGCTATTATGCCCACCCCAAGTCCTCATACCTTCTAAGTCATTTACCCTTTCTGCAGTAAGCGGTTCCACTTTTTCAGTGTTTTAGATGACAGGGCTGCTTCCACCCATTCCAAGTTTCCTGCCTTTGGAAGGACAAAGAGTGCCAGAGCATTCTTAATGTAGTCCATTTGAAGAACTGTGCAGTTCAGTTCTATATCCACGAGATGATAGTATTGTTTTATCTGGTGCATCATAGAAACTTGCACTGTGGTGGTCTTATCCACTAAGAAGTTAAAACTAACTTCTGTCTTGAATAGATGAAAAGGATTTGCCCACTTAGCTTAAAATAAAGAGAGAAGAGACATGTTTTCTAAACTATTAGTCATTTATTCTAGTAATTAAGGTTACCTACTGTCAGCCAGTTTTACAAGGGATTCCAAGTGACTGAGGACCAGAAAAACAAAGTCAATTGACATAATCATCGAGCTCCCATATGGCAAAACCTAATGTCACATCAGAGGCTCTTGGACCTCATAGTCTGTTCAGAAATGCCATATTTCCTAAAACTTACCTGAAACAGCATTCTCTTTCATGAAGAGATATAATGGCATCCAGAACAAAAAGTGAAATGAGATAACAAAGTGTTCTGGTATTTTAGCCACATATGGATGTGTGGTTTATGGCCAAAATCTTCTCCACCAAATGCAACTAACAGGTTCTATAGAACCAATAGGGCTCATCTGAGCATGGAACTTTCAGAAAGGAAACAAATAATACCTGTTTCAAACTCCAGCTATAAGACTATAGCATTTCTAGGAAAGACTAGCACTGAAATTTACTAAAAGTATCAACCTGGGTACTTGTTGCATAATCTCTAGTACATAGTGGGTACTTAATACAAAAAAATATATTTATGTATATGTGCCCAAATATGCATAGCAAGTAAGGATCATGGCAGTGTTTAGATAAAAATTCTATCTACTTGTCCAACCCCATCAAATATTTTAGAAACTTTAATTCTTTAGCCAAATATCATCAGGACATTCATACCATTGTCACTCACCTCTCAGAAAGTAAAATCTCATTAGATAATTCCTGGGCTTGTACACAGAGCTATGTGTCATTTTGAATGATCCAATACAATGCACAAATATGTACAGTAGTTAAAATCACTATGGTATGAGGGACACCTACTGATGTCAGTGATAAGAGCCCATCTGACCATTAACCTTGAAGTTGATGCCTTGGCGCCTTACCTTTGAAATGAGTATAGCTCACCAAAACCATGACGGTATTCAGTTTGAGGTCTTGGATTAAGCCTACAATTTTCCCTTTGGTTTGCTTCTCCACATGATTGTTTATCTCCTGCTGGGCTGCAGAAATATTGGAGAAGTCAGTAGAAAAGACTTCCGTTTCATAGAGGGTCTTGACATCATCCAGAAACTTTGTGAGTGGTTTCAGTTGCTTCCCAATGAAGAGTGCATTTCCCATCTGCAATTCCAGTTCTTCCTTTGGAAAATTCAATGAACAGATCAAATGCTGGAAGCCATGCTGTAATTCTGTCATTGAAATGTCTGTGAGGTTGAACCCTAAAACCTCCAGGATCTGAGTTTGGGTGGTAGAACCAGATCCAAATGAAAGCATGGCCAAAGCGGCAGAAATGCTAACAGGGGAAAAGAAGATGTTCTGATCTGGAGTCTCCACAGCAAATCTCCGATACAGACTGAATGCAAAGTCAGCATTGATAGATGACATCTTATAGAGAGTGGCATTTTGTTGGGGCAAATGGCACGTAGCTACTTTGCCTTCAGAGCTGATATGTGGGGTACAATGGATTGTAGTATGTTGTCCAAATACCAAGAAAAGCATACAGATGAACAGTGACATTCTGGAATACAAGTAATCTACAAAACATGAAGTGAGAGAACCTCAATGCTTAGATGGATGAAACACTCTCCAAACCAGAAAACCATAAAAGTCACCCACCTTGATCAATAAAACAATAGCAAATATTTGATGATGTGCTCACCAAGGGGAAATGGGTGGTAGTTTCTCTCTTCCCTAAAGACCGATGACATGTCTACTAAGGACAAAGGGTAAAAGAAATGCATTGCCTGGGCAACAGAAATACAGAGTCATGGACACATTAACATGTAATAACAGCATATGAAACTACTAAAATTAACTTACGTTTATGGAAATTGAATCACCTTTTTATTTGCACTAAAAGCAGTTTTATGAGAGAGAAGAAACTTTAGGCAGAACTAGCATTCTCTATGCTTATGTTATGTGTTGAATAGTGTTTTGGAATGCATGTATGTATTTTCCATTGACATTTTTCTTAAGATAACACCTGTGACATGACACAGGATATGAGTGGTTGGAGTGGAAGGACAATGGCTTATAGATTCATGTACAAAGTAATAAGCAGAAATTCATGCATTTGTGAAGGTATGCAAGCCACATGAGTATTTTAAAACAAGAAGAAAATGAAAATATAACTTTCTGGTTTTAGAGATCTTACTCTCATTATCTTCTAAATAGTCATTTCCCACTTCTAACACATCTTAACACCATTATACTAAGTATGTGTGTTATTTTTTAATTAGTAGAGAGGAAATTATGAAGTTTTTCTAAGCCTGAATGAGTACACAGAAAAGGTTAAGGAGTCATCTGTGGAGTGGCTAATGTCCATCGACTAGTGGTTAGAAGGAAGAGATCCGTGGAATCAGCATAGGACCCCTTCCTAAGCCTTCCATCATTGTCCTAAATGACCTCTTCCTAGGTACTAAACTGCTATCTTATCTTTAACAATTCTAGCTTGTATTTTCCTGAATTCTTAAGCATCTGCCCAGCTGCCTATTGGACACATCCACCAAGTTGGCTCACTCATACCTCAGCCTCCATTGGGAAATCTGTTTCCAAATGTAACCACATCCTCTTCCCATGCCTCAAACATGTCCCTTCATTTTAATTCAACACTGTAGTATATTGCACCATTGTTTAGAAGAAAACCCATATCCTAAGTGCTTTCTTCATTTTCATTCTCCACTTCTAATGGATCATGGTGACGAGTTAATACTGCCTGAATACTTATTAAAATTTTTCTCTTCATCAATACTGCCATTGCCTTAGTTCAAGGCCTTAGCTAATGAATCATCTCCTAGCAGGACTCAGGGCCTCTCAACTCCTTTTTTTACCTCTCTATCAAATCTTCATAGTATAACCAGAACTGGATAGAGGGACAATTATCAGATGACTACACTTATACCTTGGCTCCTGGGCCCAGGAACTTCAAGCTTATAGTTATTTGGGAATCAGACTTTATGATACAGATGTTCAAAGTTCCCAAGAAGAAAAAATTACTTACAGCATATGTCCAAGGAGCCACTTGCCTCTCTCAGATAACAACACCTTTCCATCTTTATAACATGCCCTCGATTGCAAAACAAGAGCATTCTTAGTTATAGATTAACCCTGACATGAAACCTGGGATATTTCCTAAGCTGATGCACACAACCAAGGCCAAGAGGAAAAAGCTGAAAAAGTATAGGGTTTGGACTCTGGGTAAAACTTCAGATAATGCTTTGGTCTCTACATGCTTCATTTAAAGCAAAAAAAGAGAGCTGCTGGAGTCCAGGTTCTTTCTCACTAACCAAGTATCTTTTTCTGAGGCAGAATTTCTAAAATCCATGAACAAAAGTACCAAAAGTCAACAGGAGAAAGGCAGTTCTTATCATTGTCACCCAATATTGTCAGGACTGGAAGACTTTTGAGAAAAAGATTTAGACAGACAGACACCCAGGAAACCTCTGTTACACATACTATAAGACGATTTGTGAACATGTGGGGAAATGCCATCATGGGTAGCTTCAAACCCTAAGGTTTTATGCTCAAAGGGAAACAAGTCATGTCCTCTGATCACTAAAATCCATTGCACCCTCCCCTGGCAAGAGGCCTCCAAAAATGATACAGATGGGGCCAGTAAGGTAGAATAAAAAGTGCCTCTGTCTGAGATCAACTGTGTGCTGTGTGCAAAGAAGCAGTGGGAACAAAGAGTGCTAGACTTCATCAAGGGGTTTGAGTTCAGCTGTGACTCTGCCAGACTGTAGCTACAGTGATAGTAGTAGTAAACAGCAACATAGGGTAATTGACTCTGCACAAGACAGGACATAAAATGCCTAATTCCATACAGAGCTGCCTCAAGGACTACATTAAAGATCAATGTGTTGGGAGCGAGAGCTTGCTCAGCGGTTAAGAGTACTGGCTGATCTTGCACAGGACCCAGGTTTGATTCCCAGCACCCACATAGCAGCTAACAACTGTTCATTACTCCAGTTCCAGAGGATCCAACACCTTCTTCTGTCCTCAGGCATTGCACAACATGTGTGCACTTCCACACATGTGGACAATATACTTATACATAAGTAATAAAAAATAATAAATAAACCATTTTAATTTTTAAAAAGGATCAGTGTGTGAAGTTAGGGGTAGAGAAGGGAACTGGAGCTAGTTCAAGCTAAGCCTAGATATGATTTATGGAAGGACTTGGAATCCAAGATAAATAGGACACACCTAACCTGGAGTCCACTGGGAAGGAAATGGGGGTTTTATAAAGGGACTGACTAGAGTCATGGTGATTGTACTATGTCACTTTTCCTTAGCAATCAATTATAGCCAGGGCCTAATGTGTACAAAGCACCATATTTAGCACTGGGGCTTCAGAGGTAATGCAGAATATTAGTTCTCCTTCCAAATCCTCCTTCCAAGAGATCTTTCTGATCTCTTGACACTCCTACCCAAACTGAATAGGAGAGGGGACATCTCATATACAGGATGGTCACTGGTACATGTGTCTCACAGAAAGTCAACATCAAACTCAAGGGCCTTGACTGTTAGTTCAGTCCAAATTCAGTTCTCGTAATATAACACATTGCCTCTTTTTCAGCTATTGTAAACACCTGCAAAAGAACAGGGACAGACAAAAGAAAACTTCCAAACCTGTGCCCTCTGGTGGCACAGTTGGACAATGGCACAGGTTCAGGTTTTCATAACAGCTCAATCTCATGTAAACTAACTCAAGGAGCCACAAGGTAAATACCTATAATCACTTCACTGGGGAAGCAGAGGCAGAAAGTTTGTATTGTGAGTTCTAGGCAAGCCTGAGCTACATAATGAGATACTGTCTCAAACAACAAAAAAAGTAAAATAATAAAAAAATATAATTCACAGATATGATGAGCATGCCATATTCCCTCCTTGAGGGCATTGCACAGTGACCTAACACTAAGCCCCACTTCATAAATTCCCTACTACCTCTACACTGACGTAATGAAGACCAAGCGTCCAACACATGAACACTCAGGGAACATGGTGTCATAGCAAAGTGTTGTCCACAGGCTGGTATCACAGTGCCTGACACATACTAGGAAAGCAGAAGCTTTTAATTCTTTACCTTTTCATCAGCTGACATCAGTTTCTTCTCTCACCTCAATATCCAACCCATACGCTGCTCAATTCTTTCAACAAACGTGTTCTCTTTAAGATGAAATTGGCTCTTTTTATAAAGTTATATTTAGCATAATGCCAGCATTGTGTAAAGCTGATAGAGCTAGCACATTGAATAGAGAATCTTAAAAGTGTTACCACATCAATAAATTCAATCTGCTCTAAAATTGTATGTATTTTGTTTGGATAAACACCATAATAATTTATTGCCACCCAATTTCTTCTGAATTTTATTTTATAAAGGTTTAAAGGTCCCCTGATTCATTTCATGCATAATTTTTTCCTCCTGGCTTTTACTTGATAGTTGACCCCCAAAAGAGTCTAGGAGAAATTATTGGATCTCATTCTATATATGTGTAGAAAAAATAATGTGTGCGAAGTGGTGAAATTAGGAAAGTAGCTTTCTTCTTGTAATCTAAGTCTTAAAGGCAAATAAAGTACTGGATACTAAAGCAAAAGAGAAACAGCTTCATCAGTCTAAACTAAGTATTGCTTGTGCTGACTAGGGAAAATAAGTGGGTATTTGGAATTGAGGATTTTTTTAGTTCTTTCAATGTTCCTATTCTTAACATCTTACTCTTTTTATTTGATAGACTAACTTTGATAAAAGTGACTCATCAATTCTAGGATAATGAGCAAATCTATAACTTGGTAGTCCACATGATGAGATGCAGAATAGAAGATTTGACTATTTTAGGGACCCAGATGGGTTCCAAGAAATTCTACTTGCATGTTGACTAATATGGACTTAGGGTTTTCGGTATGTGTGGTTGTTCATGTTAACTGTCAGCTTGACAAAAGTTAGAATCCCCTGGCAAATGGGCCTCTGGACATGAATGTGAAGGATTATCTTCAGCACATTAATTGAGGTGGAAAGATCTGCCCACTGCGGATGGCACCATTCAGTAGGCAGTAGAATTTGGACTTTACAAGAGTAGAGAAAGCAATCCAAGATCAATATGCATGCATTCACTGCCTTCTTCTTCTGGGTGAGGAGATACTGTTCCCAGTGGTTTCAAGTTCCCTGTTGCCTTGACTTCCCCACCGTGATGAACTGGAATCATGAACTGTGACCTGAAATGAACCCTTCCTCCCTTAAGTTGCTTCTGTGAGACTATTTTATGACAGCAAAAGAAAAGAAAGTGAGACTTATAACTCGTTTTATAAAACTTTCTAATGTTATCCAAAAATTCCACTTTTCCCATAATTTTTAAAATCCTAATTTTCTTCAAATATCTCTGTAGCACTAATGAAGTCACCCAAAGACATGCCTTTCAAAATTTATACATTTCAGAAGCTCACTTAATTCACTGTTCTGTCACTCCGTTCTATGGCTTTTCATGTTCTACTTAGGATTACAAATGGGATTTTCAATTGGTTCTAGCTTGCCTAGCACTGCCAAAAATCAGTTTAATATTCCTCACACTTTGATACATGGAATCAGACTTCTGATATTAATATCTGTATCTGGAATAGTATTTGGTTTCCAACAACAGTAATTGAAAGTGGCTAGCCATAACATAAATGATAAGTAGGGGACAATATTACTTTACAGAAAAACAGTAAGAATGAGAAAAAACTTGCTCAATTTGTATGGAAATAGATGGGCACTGAGGTATGAAATTATTCTGGTACCTGGACATTGGTTAATGATTTGATAGAAAATGCTTGAAAAATATATAAGTAGGTGATTAAGAGAAATGGGGAAGGCATATGTGAAGAGATCTCTGTTAAAGTTTAAAATATATGAAGATTTTAGGGCATCCATGTGAGTCATCACAACAGCAGTACAATAGATGTTTCAAAACTAGGTGAATAAAATGGTATTTTTTGGAGGTTCAGTCCACCTTCTTCACAGACATTCCCAGCTTTTTTTGAT